GGGGCTTCCGGGCTGTTGTTGTCGCGACGAGATCCCGTTTATCCGGCCGTAGTTCCGGGGAGCCGGGCAGGTCGAGTGTGAGCTCAGCCCCGAGAACCAAACCAGGATATGTCAAAATCTCGGTACTCACCGCGTGCTTATGAAGTGACCGAATTCATAGCATATTGCTGGATGAGCTGTGCGAACGGTCACGCTGTTGGGCTTGGCGGCTCGGTGAACGGCCACCACTGCGGTTAGCGCCGAGGAGACAAACTCCGAACCGGAAAAATTCAACCGAACACCAGTATCCTTCAAACCGACTCTGCAGAGCTGGCGGCTCAGAATGAACGAGTACATCATAGGATGGGCAAGGCGCTTGGTACAGCAGGTCGATATTAATGTCCGTTGGGTTGATTCCCTCCCCTTGGACCGATCGCCTATCTACAATGCTAGAGTACACAAAGGGAATCGAAGAACGAACACGTCTATAGCACGGAAAGATCGCCGAACTTCTCCTGTAGGGGGTATTAGTATGCCGAATCATATCGGGGTCGTGCTTTGAACGTACCTTGTATCCCGGAACGGTCCAGCGGCCCTTGGAGACGAGCTGGGAGGTCTTCTCATCGATTGAGGGCTCGGCGGCGGCGACATCGTCCTGTAGTCATAATAAGCATCCGGCCATCCGCGTCCTCCACGTATTCCGGCGGTACGTACGACAGTGAGGTCCTCGAAGGGGCGAGCGGACTCGATGTTGGTCAGGGTCTTCTCGAGGTCCTTGAGCTCGAGGTCGACCTTCTGCTTGGTGGCCTCGGCGTTCTTGACGGCCTCGACCTCAAAGGCCTCGATGGCCTTGATCTGGCGAGAGACATCGTAGGTGGCGGGCTTGAAGGCGGAGAAGCGCTTCTCGATCTCATCGACGACGGCCTGGTTCTTGAGGATGGAGCGGTACTGAGCGAAGTCGACGGTCGTGGGGAGCTCCGACAGCTGCTGGACCCTGCGGCGGGCGTTCTCGTTGCGCTGCTTGAAAGCCTGGAGGGAGGCGGCGGTCTGGCCCTTGAGGCCGAGGGAGGTGGTGACCTTGGCCCAGTCGAGCTTGAGAGCTGCGCTTCGCTATTGCAGGACAAGGAGAGAAATTAGCTCAGGTGGCCCAGCTTCAAGGGAGCGGATGCGCGGATGCGCGACCCAATTGGCGACATGGGCGGCAATTGCATCAATCGGCGACGAGAGACGAGCGGACTTCGATGGGATACACGTACTGCGGCCATTTTGGAGGATTTGTTGAGGGTTCGGGGGAGTGGAGAGGGAGTTGCGTCGTCGTGAGGTTGATGATTGACTTTGCCGACCGGAGAGCAGAGAAAGAGCCGGGATGAACTGTGTCACGCGGATAATCACGTGATACTCATCCGGCCGAATGTACTGGGGTGTGGTTGGCCGCACGGGAACGAACGGTTCAATGGTGGGGCAAAGCTCCCGGCTTTGCGAATTCGGTCTGAGCCAATTCCCGCCAGATCGAGGGGTAGCTGTAAATTCAACCAGACGAGGCTGGGCTACAAAGGCAGGTATTACGAGCAGGAGTCAGCCCACGATGTCACAATAGCCAATCACGCATCACGTATGTCATCAGCGCGATATCCAGAGTGCAAGAAAGCGCCGATTATCATGACCTCTCATTGCGAAAGAGACTTTTCGGAGTCAACTCCCTGGGAATTGTACATGCCAACCCGTTCCGTCCTTTTTGCTGTATCGAGATTTTGAGAAACTACCTTTGACCGGGGCCGCCGCTAAATACTCAATGCCATAATAGAGTTAACGATATCGTTGTCGTTCTCCTTCAGGGCCTTGATGGCCTTCTTCCGGCTAACGTTGGCCTGGGTCATGACGAGCTCAATGTCCTTGTCCTCAATGCCCTCAGCGTCAACCTCCTCACCATCGTCCTCCTCCTCGTCCTTCTTGGCCTCGGCGTCAGCCTCGACGGCCTTGCCGTGGCTGGAGTGGTCGTGGCCGGCGTGGTCGTGCTCACCACCAGCAGCGGCGAGCTGCTGGGCGGCGGCCTGCTGAGCAGTGGCGTTGAGGTCCTCAATCTTGGCCTCACCGAAGACGCTTGAGTGCACGTGTCAGTTTCCACACATCGCATGACCCATGGTGCAGTATGCTACTTACATATAGGTGTTGCTGTTGGGGGACTTGTAGACCTCGGGGCTGTTGATGACGAAGAGGATCTGGGACGTGGGTCAGCCTTGTTCAATATGCCCCCCCGCATTGCGCCGTGCGTGCCACCACCACCACCACCACCGACAACAGCCACATCATATCATGCCAGGCAACTCACGTTCTTGGGGCGGCGGAGAGTGACGCGGGTGATGCCCTGCACTCTGGTCAGGTGCAGCTTCTCGAGAGCCTTGCGGGCCTTCTTCTCGTTGCGGGAGTGGATGACGGCGGTGGAGCCGGAGGGAAGGCCCTCGGCATCCTCGCCCTCAATCTCGGAGTCGGAGCTCTCGTCCTCGTGCTCCTCGACGGAGACCTTCTTGGTCTCGTCATCGGGAAGCTCTTCAACGCGGGGGTTGGCCATTTTGTCGACTGCTGAACCGAGGGAAGAAAAAAATTGTTAGCTGCGGGGTGCTTCTGGTGTGGTGGTGGTGGTGGGAGCTAGGATCGCGCGCAGAGCTGATTTGGCGAGCTCGGATTTGGGTGTCTGTGGGAAGGGGAAAATGCCAACTTTTCGCACAAAAATTCGTCGGTGCAGTCGCGGGTTCGTTGATCGGGCAATGGCGTCAAAAATCCGACAGAGGGACAGCAACACTTACCAAAGACTAGAACGAGGGATCGTTAACTCGGCGTGGGGGATTATGTTCGGTGGCTTTGTGGTTTGTAGGAAAGATCGCAGAGAAATTCTAGGGTTAGCAGCACCTACTGTGTTAAAGTGGATTAGGTAAGCAGAAGACAACCGCCTGCGAGTCTGCCAACGCTCCCGACCTGAGTGGCTCCCCCCAGTTCAGGTCCCCCGGATGGGACGCGGTGCACGCCGGGCATTTTGAGCCACGGCCGCCGCCTCAAGGAAATGGATGACATTCTGCCCGTCATTTCTACAAGGCTGAGGCAGAGCCTGGCCGTACATGGGCTCACTACGAAATCTGGACTTAACCGGAAGATCTAAAACTGCATTTCGAGAACCGACTCCTGGCCATGGCATTCACGTCAAGAATAGGCTCGTCATGAAGATTTACAGTGTCAAAAGGAAAACCGAAAAAAAAAGTCTTTACTCCGTGTCCCCGTCACGAGCCAACCAATCTATTTTTCTGATTGTGCCATGAATTCATTTTTGTCTCTGAATTTCCGTATTTGACGCCGGTCATCATATGATTGATGATGAATGTGACATACAGCCCTTCCAGTTACGGAGCAAAAGAGATGTGCAGCAACCCAATGCTGCGGTGATGCAGACCAAACCGGATCCCATGCTGTCACGCTCTAAACCAGCCCCGTAGTCTTCAAAGTCAACCCCATAGACATCCTAATCGTGAGTCCATTACGCCGAGGCCTTGACCTTGACCAGAGCCTTGCGCTCTTCGAAACGGCGCTGCTTCTTGAGGCGGAGAACCTTGAAGCGGTCGAAGTCGCTGAGGTTCTTTCTCCGCTCGATCTGAGTGCTGCGCTTGAACCAGTTGGTCTCCTTCCACTTCTGGTCGATCTCGGACTTCTCCCAGAACTTCTTGACGGTGCCGGTACGGGCGCCACGGGGCAGGTCGGCGACGACGAGCGAGGAGAGGAGAACGTTGGAGAGAGAGACGGGCTGGCGGGGGACGGCGAGCTTGGCGTCTGAGGAGGGGCCATCGACCAGAGCCTGCAATTTGGTATCATGTTAGTCTTCCAGGTTTCCTATATCGTCCACGGAGCGCGCGCTCGTGCGCCCAATTTCAAAAAAACCATTCGAATCGTATCGGGGGAGAGAGGAGGTGCTGTCGTAACGTACGCGCTTGTGGTCGATAATCTCGACGATAGTCGCAAGGCGGCCGGCGTAGGGGCCGTTGCCCTGGATGAGGACGACACGGCCGACCTCGACCAGTCGCCACTTAGAACCCTCGATGGTAGCGTCACCCATTTTGCTGGTCGGTCTGAAGTTGGATCGCGAAGTTAGAATCGGGGTTGCGGATTTCGTGGTGTTGCGTCTTGCTTGTCTTGGAGGGGCGCGTCAACTTACCAGACGTCGAAGATGTGCTGCTGGTGGTTAGTGGTGGATGGAGTTCGAAGTCACTTCGGCACACTTCTTTTTTTTTTCCCTGGGAGGATGGTGCGACTTAGGGCAAGTCAGAAAGCCGCAGTGAGACGGATTTGCTGATTAACCGAGCCGAGTTCCTCTCTTCCCAAAACCGCTTAGCTGGGGCGGTCAGTGACCACTCACCGCGCAGGCCCCACCGACGACAGAACTTTTTTTTCCCATTCGCATAAAGGTGCAGCTTGCTGAGCTCTCCCTTTGTTTTGTTGATCTTACTCTTCATCAGCTTCGAGGTGCTCAGAATTTGGCATCTGTCTAAGAAGCTGCAACAGAACACAAGGTACGTTCACATCGCCCGAAACACCCCCTATTGGAATGATGAGAAAAATTTGCGATTGATTTCTTTCGGTGGCTCTCTTTCGCCGGAGTGGCTATATCGTCTGAATATATGATATTCAATTCTTACATATTCTGACCTCCAAACCCAACAACACCTCTCTGTTCTCTGAATCTTTGTCTGGATATGTTTGACTAATTCAACATTCAGGTATGACCACCAGTATAGACGACTTAATAGTAAAGAAAAAATATGATATGTAAACGTCTACGTTCTTGAATCCTAGTGTGTTGCCCGTTCTTCATGATTAATTGCGTGAGCACGATCTTTCAGACTGCCTCGCAACCACCGTGTAAACATCACTGGAAAAGTGTTTTGCCTCATGACTTTTGATATTCATCCTATGAACTCATGTATGCTGGTGCTACCCTGCCAACGCCGGACCGAAAATCATATTTGTGCTTCCCATGTCTATTTTCCAGCCTTTTGCTTCAGGCGGAGCTCGTCCTCCTCCTGGAGCTGCTTATCGATCTCGGCGCCCCTGGAAGGCTTGTTACCGTGCAGCTTGGCCTGATTGCCAATTAGCACTGATTCTTTCATGCGCGGAGGGCTCAGGAATGCTACTTACGGGGAGTGTGGCGTCCTCCTTGCCAAGGCGGGTCTCGAGGGACTCTTCCTCATCACCTTCCTTGTTCTTCTTCTCCTCAGCAGCGAGTCTGTTGGCGATGGAACGCTCATCCTCTGATTGACTATTAACAAATGCAAAATCTCGGCCGCTGTACGGGCAACTTACTGGAGTCTGTCGCCAAGTGAGAGTGTTCCTTGCCCTCGTGGAAACGCTCGGCGTTGTTGGTCTCCTCCTTAGCGTTTCTCTGATCGCCAGCCTCGTAAACGGCGCTGTTGCCAACGTTTGAGTTTCCAGACATGATGATGGTTGTTTGGTTAGTGAGGTGGGATTTGAAGGTATGTTTACTGCTAAAGAGCAAGGACGGTGTGTTGTTTGATGAGAGTGATTGATGCTTGGATTGAGAAGGGAGCAAAGAAGGCTTGTGTACAGCAGGCGAGCTTTCTATATGAATGGGAAGGAAGCTGTCTTAGCTGCACTTGCGCAGCGACCCCCCTCCGGTACATCTACGTCATGACGTCTCCAGCGCCGATTCTCAGCTTAGACGGGCAAAACTCCCTCCTACGTCATGCAATTGTCATTCTCCGCAAAAAAGCCATGACAGATCTGCTCATGCCACATGGAAAATCGGCGATGCACTTGGGACGGAGAGTAGTTGGCGGCTCTGACTTTACGGCGCATCTTCGTTGCCAATTTTCAGCCCTGTCTTTGATGCTGAAGCTGAGTGAGCTTGAGTTCAGCCCATCGCCTGCCTCAAGTCTGGCTACCCCTGCTCCACGGTCGATAACGAATGAGCGCGAAGGTCCAAGATCGATATTGACCTAGGCACCTTTTCTTCTTCAGCTGTTGATTCTTTCGGCAAGCCTCTCATCTGTAAATAGGAGCGTTGAAGGTGAATCTGCCTGGTGCATTGAAATCTTACCCCGCCAGTACCTTCCCTGACGACCGACCAGTCACTTTCGAGCTTTGCACTGTGCGGCACCCTGATCGCGTGCTGCATATCCTGTAAATCTAGATAGGTAGTGAGATCAATTGCCCTATTGCTGTGGGAAGGCAACATGACATAGCAGAGGACCCATCGGAGCCGCGCCCCTGATCTATTCCGTTACGAAAAAAGCCAAATCGATGCCCAAGAGGCTCCAGGCCCATCCAAATGACAGAGTGAGGGGTCCCAAGACGTGATGCTCCATCGCTGTGCCTCCTGTGGCCAGTCCCAGGTGCATGGGGCCAGGGGTCAAGCGCGGCAGGCCCCGTCAGTGCGCTAATCCGGCATTGGCGTCTAAAACTAAGCCGCCCGGCTAAATGACGTAAACCTGATAGCTCCGGAGCTCCAGAGCTCCACTACCGACTTCATCGCATCACGCTGCACGAAGCAGAGCTCACGCAAGACAAACACACCACCAAAATAGCTCCCCAACGACCTGCCACAATGTTCGGATTCGTAAGGCTGCTCAATTGTACCCGATACAGATCAATTGACCACTGACACACACTGTAGCGCAAGACCCTCGACATCGTCACTGTCTTCCACAAGGCGAGCTCCCCCGCCTCTGTGAGGGTTGTCAACCTCCTCAAGCAGGTGTCGGCCAACGCCGCCGCCGGCGCGACTGAGGACCAGGCCAGCGACCACAGCGTCCAAACGAGCCCCAAGACGTCCCGCGCCGACTTTGAGCTCAACATCACCGAAGACCCCCCAACAGCCGACCAGGTTAAGACCATCCTGGAATACGTCGGAAAGAGCAAGATCCCATCAATCATCAAGGGTGCTTCCACTGAGCAGGATGCCCTGAAGAAGTTCCAGCAGAACGCCGAGGTTTTTCAAAGACCCGTGGTATGTGTTTCCTCCCCAGAGCTCGTGGTCCTCTTCAAACCTGTACTTTGAGAACAAACCTGGCTGACTGAGACATACAGACTGTGGATTGGAACAACGGCAAGGCTGTCTCTGGTGAGAGTGAATCTGAGATTCTCAAGATGATTAACGCCTTGAGCAATGAGAAGAGCTGAAAGAAGAACGCTCTCTTCAGATGTTTCAAAGCAGCTCCTTTGTCCTTGTTGTCCAGATACCTGCGTTCTCATTCCCCCAATGGTACATTAGTAGTTGAATGATGAATATACTCTTCTCTCTTCTATGCCGTGTAAAATATCGTCCATTGCTTCCATCAAGCCCAAATTTAGCTCGTAGCTATTGCTGTAGGCTGCCGTCAATCTGTTGATAGCTGTCGGACGAGGATCCAAGTTGAGTTCCAATGAGTACTATGTTCCTGCAATAGTGCTCGTTCACGCTGATGAGCAAAGCCTTACCTCATATGCAAGCACTGCTACCTCAATTCTCCAGGACCAACGATATCCCATCTTATTACTGATCCTCAATGGAAGTGTGCTGCATCAACTACATTTATTCGTTATCAGGAACAAATGAGTAAGACTTGTTTGTCTCTATGGACATTACAATGAGGGGCATGATGACCTTGGGAAAGATGCCAGACGGCTGAAAGAAGAGAACACTGGCTCTTTTCATATCAAGTTCCTGTGAAAGGAGGGGAAGAAGATCCCGGCTACCCACCTATACAGCAAATTGTGTCTACACATCAAGTAGGAGTCGTCGCAACAAAAGGAAGACCCAGGAAGCTCACGCGATTACCATGTGAGAGCCGTATCTGGTGTACTTACTAAAAATGTAGCTGCCGGGAACTATGTTGCTGCCTGAGTCCTGCTTCCTCCACTTCACCGATCTAAGAGGTGTCACTCTGTGAACGCCTGAATATTTCGTTCTTCTGGTTGATGCTACTGCTGCTCTCATCTACAGGCAGGTGCACCCACCCATGATTCCTTCCCAACAAACATCTCTGGGACCTGCCTCCTTCCTTCCAACCTCTCTCCTGCTTCTTTTTTTTTCATTTGCCTTGTGAGTCTTGACCTTCTCCCTCTCTCTTCGTCCCAAAAACAACAACACCACCCATTTCATCGTCTCTTCTCCCTTCCCACCACCAAATCAATCCCTCTCCTACTCCAAAATCGCCACCAGAAATATTCTCATTTTCTCTACCTCCATTGCCTCCGAGCCCATCACCGCAAGCCTATCATCCCGTTGCCAAACGACGTTGGATATACGCAGCTTTGCAGTATGGCTTCTAACATCCATGGAGGACCTGGCTCCTTCCAAGATCAGCGCTTCCCCAGGAACAACGATCACGATAGTCGCGCTACGATGGCAAACTCTATGCCTACCAAGCCCTCCTCTCATTACTACCCCAACGGAATTCCCGACGGCTACAAGATGGTCGGTACCAAGGAGGCAGAGACGCCTAGACTTTACATCGAAGACAATCTTCCGATCGCCTTCTACAACCAGCCGACGAAGGAGGTCAAGGCTATTTTTAGCACCAACAATGGCGAGTTTCCCACTCGCGGTCTCAGCCACGTCCTCCCAGTACGCCAGATTGATTTATGGAGCGCTGAAGAGCTCCAGGAGAGGGCCAATGCCATCCGCAAGAAGCATTGGAGTCACATGAAGTCCATGCCGCAGCTGGAGTTCTGGGAAGACTTGTATGATTATTTCGACTGCTATGACATCTACTTCCAAGGCGCGATGAACCTTTGGAATCTGATGCTTCATCTCTACCACGAAAATCAATGTCTCGTTCGCAACCTCCATCAAGAAATCGTTGCAGAAGTTGGTCACTGGTGCGACGAATGGGCTGCAAAGAGCGAGAACAAGAAGAAGCTGCTAGACTTCAAAGAATTCCAGGGCGACGTTCTCAATCTGCTGAGCTCAGAGGATCGCGTTGACCTCCAGGGATTGCCTCCTGTCAGCATGGAACTTGTCCGCAATGCTCTGAAGTTTCGACATGATCAGCTTCTAGGCAAGCCATGGGCTCAACCAGCCTTGTACCCGCAAAATAGCCTCGGGTACCAGTGGGAAGGAGGCACACTGCAACATTGGCTTGGTGAGTTGACTCTGTTACCTGTTGAAAGCGCCTGACCTAACCTTGTCAGCGGGTCAACCCGTTCAAGATACTCCTAGTGGACTTGCCCCAGCATCAACCGCCCCAAACCTGACGAAGGGCAACCCCGACTCCCCACTGTCTCAAACGAGCCCGGCTGCCAAAGCCTCGCCTCCGAAGCCATTGATCGTGAGCGGTACATCTAGGCAAAATTCAATCGACCATCTCCATCACGATGTTGCCACGGCTGTGAATCGCGTCAGCTACCCCGAGGGTACCCCAGCGGACAACCGGCAGACCTTTTCGGCAAGTCATGGCCATGGTAACGATGATTCTCGTCAGCTGCCTGGTCGTTTGCTTCCCAACGTTGCGCAAACGAATCAAACTTCGATATCCAGAGGCGAAAATGCAGGTCCGGGAGGATCCACCTTTTACCCTCATGCTATTAGACCTGATGGTCATCCATTCAACACGCCTTTCACTACAGGTCCACATGGTATGCCTCAGCCCTATCTTGGACCCGTTAGCCCCCTTCATGCTCCCTCTCATGGACCCTCTCGTGGACTTCCTCATGGGCCTCCTCACGGACCCATGGAACCTCCTGCTGGTCCTGGAAATCGCCGTTACGGCCCATCCTCGCAGGTCCTTCCGTCTCCTCAAAGACCTAATGACAACCGCTTCAACAAAGCTGGGCATTCGGCGCAAATACCGGGCTGTGTTTCCGTGGGCGGCGCACAGCGTGCTCAATCTGCTGCTTTTCCTGGTGTGGCACCTGAGCCGGTTTCCTTCCAGAGACGCAACGACAAGCGGAATGCATCAACAGACCCTCACTTTGGCCAAGCAGGCGACCGCGGTTCGCAAATGGGCCATCCGCGATTTGAGACAAGATTCAACCCGCGAGCAGCGCCTAACTCGAACGGCTCATCTCATCAGCAGCAGCGCCACCGTGGCGATTTCAAAGGATGGGAGAAGGTCCACAATGCAGATGACTCGATTCATGGGCCCGTTTTCCGTCGTTCTCCAACCAAGGAGAATCGCGCCCGTGCATTATCCCGTTCTTCCGCGTCTAGACAAACTTTCACTTGCACAAATCAACATGAAAAGCTTGGCGATAACAAATGGGCCTATGCGCCTTGCGAGTGTCCTTCTTGCGAGGCTCGTGAACGATCTGTCTTCGTTCAGCTCACCTCTCATCTAATTAGAGATGACCTGTCTGAAAAGGTCCATGCTGTGATGTCTCGGTGGGGAGAGGTTGAGAAAGTCAACAGATTGGCTCTCAAGGACCAGAAAGATTACCCCAACTTCTTTGTCAGGTAAGTGGCAACATTCATCCAGGCTAGAAATTCTACTGATATCAGGTGCTCTCATTCAGATTCGAAGATGGTTCTCGCATCACTGAGATTGCAAGCGCAAAGGATATTGAGTGCCCAGAGCTTCACTGTATGCTCCAGACGCGACCTATTCACCATACGCGCTATGGAAGCTTGATGTATTCCAAGGCCAGCAGGGACGCGAATGAACAGCATAGAATCCCGAAGTCGTACGAAGGGTCTCAGCAACCTCGGGCTAGCAACCAGGCTCCATTCACTCAGAGTCAGTCCCTATCTGCTCGTATGGACTCTCGATCTCAACCAGTCTCCTTGGAGCAGTATATGATTCCTCGTCCACCAAAATCGCAGGGCAAAGCAGTACATGGTTCTCAGTCCGAAGCGGTACCTGATTCAACTGTTCCACTGCCCACCGCAGACCAAGTTACTCTGCTGCAGGGTAAAACCGAACTGCCCGAAGGCGTCAAGCCGACACAAGCCGATGCGACTGGTGATCTAGCCTTGCAACAGTCAAGTGAAGCCGAGTCGCAATCGAAGCCGCCTTCCGAGGAGGTTATTCCCGATGAAGAAAAGACAACCAAGCATGACAGCCCTCGGATTTCCAACAGTCCATGCAAAGTCATTGTCGTCAACTTACCGGCGACACCTCAAAAGCTGACGAAGACTTCGATGGACACTGAGGTACAGGGAGAATCTGACTCTTCTGGCAAGGCTGTCTTTACTCCGGACGACAGTGAATCGGTAGCCTCTCCGTTCAAGAAAAGCCCCCCTGCCTCTCCCAGTGAGAAGGAACACAAATTCGGCGCTCTTCGTGACCAGGGACCATCTGAAGAATCTGCGAAGGTTATACCTCACGTCTCGCCTGTCCCGGAAGAAGGAGTCATAGCCCCTGAGCCTCTTGCGCAGAGTCCCACGTATGGCAAGGGAAAGTACAGGAAGGTTTTTTCTCACAGAGATACCAGCAGTGTCGAGGTCTTCGACGTGGTGCCTCACATGCCAGGAAGAAGTAGCTCTTCGTTCCTCAAGACTTCGTTTCCTGACGAAGATGGGCCTAGCGATAGCCTTCGCTTGAATTCTGGACATGCACTCGACAGCTTGATCGATGCGGGCTTAATCTCAGGGGTTCCAATCACCGCTATGGCCGACGATGCTTCAAAGAAGAAGACCAAGAGAAACAAGAAAAAGAAGAAGAAGCCGACATCAGGAAGTCAAGATGAGTCTCTGCCCATTGGCGACGCCTCGACTGTGGCCGCCGATGATAAAACTCTTCATATCCCGGCGGAAACCCAGACTGGTGCATCAGAGACGGCCGACATCATCACGAAGGCCAGGGATATCGTTGCAACAGAAGCGTCTCCAGGAAAGTCAAGTCTCCCGGAGCCGCCTAACAAAAGCTTTCGAGCCAACGCTGGCGGCTCACTTCGAATGCCGAAGAATCGCAACAAGCAGCCGGCTCAGCTGAACATTGCTGTACGAGAAGGTTCTAGTTCTGGAGCAGCCACCATCCTAAAGGAGGCCCATGTCGTCGACGGCGGTCTTCCATCTGCTGCGAGTACTTCACAGATGAGCTTCACCACAGCCCAGGAAAGCTGCTCTGGCAACAGCTCGCCCAAGGTCTTATCGACCCCAGCAACTCCATCGTCAGCCAGGACGCCTGAACCGAAGTTTTCACCAGAAACGTCCGTGGTTGAGAGCGAAGCGACGGCAAAGTCAACCATGCAACTCAATCCAAAGGCAAAGGAGTTTGTGTCGCCTGTACCGCGCCCTGCTTTTCATAGGGTGAAGCTGGCGCCAATTCCATTGGTACCGATCCCAGTGAAGACCACTCAGCATCAACGCAACTTTTCTCGCAGTTCATCGGTCACATCCCGAACTCTCACTCCAGGACCAACGCCTCCCAAAGCTCAAGCTGAACAGTGTCAGGGACATGGTGCTGGAGATGGCGTCGACAATGGAGTGAGTTCTACAACTGGTGAAGTGCCAGTCCAAGATGAAGGCACGCAAAATTCGGCACCCGAGAGCATGGCGAAGGCAAAGCAGGACCACCCCGCTGAAGGTGGTACGCCCGTCCCACAGCCATCAAATGCTAGCAGTGGCAACGGTCAAAGACAGCGTGCGAAGAAGGGCGCTAGCAAGAAAAAGCAGCAACAGCTTAGCAGCGATCGCGAACAGCACGGGCAGCATCAACAGGGTAAGCAAGAACCGCAGAAGAACATCCCTTCGCCTAAGAAGCAAAATAAGCACGTCCAGCAACCGCAACATGCCCCTGGGACGCACAACAGAAAGCTTTCTGTTGCAAGTAAAGACGACTTCCCGTCCCTGCCGCCTGCTCCCTTGCCTGCTTCCAGCCTACCTGCGACCAGCGTCTGGGGCAAAGCGCGTGCAACATCAACTGCTACAAAGAGCAGCACCACCACTCCTACCAGCAGCATGAGCAGTGAGAACAAGACCAAGGACAAGACATCCTCGGGCGCGCTCCCTCAGGAGGGCAGTGGCAAGCATTAGACAAGGATGTTCGATGTTTGGGGGGAAATGATTTGGGCGCGATACGAACAAATACGGAAAGACGGAAGCATATGTGACAGGACAGGGTTGACTAAGAGCTTTTCTGTAGATTGGAGAGCCTGTTGGGGAGGTATCTCAGAAGCAGGTGATGGGGAGGATTTGAATTCGTTCCTTGAGAAGGATTTGTGTTTGAGTGATACCCATAGCTCGCGCTTGTGGCTTAGTAGTTGCGAAGAAATAGAATGAACATTGCTCGGAAGACTCTCTATCTGATCGTTTATTGCTTGAATGCTTACTTGGGTGGTTGTGAGCCCCGTCATAGGTGACCTGAAGTGAACTTGTCTTCTCCCAGAGCCTCGTCTGATCAAGGGCACAGTGAACATCCCGGGGGACGTGGACACTATCCAGCAGACCGCATATGGGATCGTCGTAGAAATGGTACTTTGCAAACACAGATAACCCCGAACTGTTACCATGGCGCCTAGTTTCATTCATCGGCAGCTCGCTGAGTTCAGTTTCAATACAACTTTCGGCTCGTCATTCTCAACAACATGGTGATGGTACAAAAGGTCCTTGTTTGAGTCTATTCGTTCAATTGTCCCCGCCCGGGTTTATACGTTTATGCGCCGTTCTTCACCAGGGTCGTAACTGTGTCCTCGATCTGCTTGTCCGACAGGCCTTTTGCGGAGCATGTTAGCTACTGAGCGTCCTCGAGAGATTGAAGGAGGGAGGAGGGTGACTCTCACCTTCCAGCGACTGGCTCTTTTCAACGCCGAATTCTGTTTGAGGAAGAGTACCTAATCAGCATTCGGTATTCATTCTGTATCATTGGGAAGTAGTTCTGACCGTATCTCGCGTAGATCTTGGGTAGTGTGCCGGCGGCCTCGCGGATGAGGATGGGAGTCTGGGGGTTGTTCTTCTTCATCGTGGGGTAGGCTCTTGCGACGAAGTTGCTATTGCGATGAGGGGTTAGCGGGGGATCGACGTGATGCGAGATGTTGGTGTCGTCGTCGTTGGGAGGTTTCGAGGTTGGGGTGTACATGCGCTGAGCGTGTGTAGGGAAGTCGAGGAAACGTACCGGGTCGCGGCGCTGTGCTCGCCCGTCTGGCAGAAAAGGAAGCGCACCTCCTTGAGGGCCTTTGTGAATGCGTACTTGCTCGACATCGTGGCTGGGGCTGCGCGAAGGAGGTGCGGACGGGCGGCGGTTGGGTCAATTGGCGGGATTCGGATCGATTGGAGGAGCCTCTTTGCTGGTGGACGGACTGGCGAGGATTGAAGTTAACGAGGTGCTCACGGTTCGAGGTGGGCCAGGGAATTTTGCATAAGGCGGTCGGGAACTCAGGATTAGCATAACTTGTCTAATTGGGTATTACTGATTGGTTGGACTCCTGGAGCTGTGGACTTATGCATATGCACAACTCAACACCCCCGATCTAGGGGCCGTTTTTCAAGGTACGCAGCTACAGACAGGCGAGTATTACGTAAGGTGCTAAGGTTCAAATGGAAATTGGAAGGTGAGGTCGACCTGGTCAGTGCTCCCGCAGTCAACTTTTTTTCCCTCGACGGGTTGTCCCCGCTTATCTCCGGTTGACGGACGCTGTTTGCTCGCTGAGAGCTGCCGTGCGCCTTACCTCTTAGTGCACCGTATGCGCTCGCTCGTGCTCCCGGGCCAAAAAAAGCTGCCCGCTCATCTTCGGACGTCCCAAACCTCAACGCATCTGCGTCTCTCAACCTCGCCTCAACCTCTCCCCTCCATCCCTCCCGTGCGTCTATCGAAAGGAAAACCCTCTCCGCTCCAAACCACCTCTGCCTCCGCGTGAATTGAGATCCCTTCTCAATCGATCCTCCGAACCCGAGTTTCCGACGACATATACACACGAAAAGAAAAGCTATAGCTTTGACAGTTCGTCACAATGGCCCCCGCCAACAACTTCTTCAAGGCCGCGCGCCCTGCCTTCCGCCAGCAGGTCTTTGCCGGTGCCCAGATCCGCAACGCTTTCCGCACCTCCCAGTTCCGCGCCCAGTTCCGCGAGAGCTCCAAGAGATGGCAGAGCTCGACTGCGTCCGCCGATGCCCAGGTTAGCTGGTTCAAGCGCATGTGGGACAGCCCCATCGGAATCAAGACGGTGCACTTCTGGTGAGTAGACTGTCCCCGACATGCGATACAAAGGCTTCGCATGGTATTCTTTTGACATGTCCGCTGACTCCGATGGTCCCAGGGCCCCCGTTATGAAGGTATGAAGTCCTGGTAGCTGAAGGTACCTCCGGGTATCTCCCTTGCAGATGTCCGGTCGCGATGTCGGAGGTCGATATAGACCGGACGAAGAAATACCCGAGAGGATTGACAATGCCTCCATGGAACGAATGCTGACTGGCAACGCAATACACAGTGGGCTCTCGTTCTTGCCGGTGTTGCTGACTTTGCCCGTCCCGCCGAGAAGCTGTCTCTCACCCAGAACGGTGCCCTGACGGCCACTGGTATCATCTGGACCCGTTGGTGCTTGATCATTAAGCCCAAGAACTACCTGTATGTCATGAAGGGTCTCACAAAGGGAACGTGTCAACTAACCTGTCCAGTCTTGCTGCTGTCAACTTCTTCCTCGGTGTCGTCGGTGTCGTCCAGTGCTCCCGTATCCTCATGTGGCAGCAATCTCAGAAGAGTGTTGGTGACTTGGCCAAGGATGTCAAGGAGGACGTCAAGGAGGCCGTCTCTTCCTAGACCTAGAATCGCAACTGCCGAGCAAAGTGGGGTACATTAAGGGGTCCATGGGAGGGACGAGGTAAAGTTGTAGCATGGTTCCAAACTGACGTACCAGCTGCGGCCACGATCCAGGAACAGTCGCGGAGGCAAGAGGAGACGGCGCAGAGCGCTTCGGACTACCCACCCTGTCATGTCATGTCATGCATCAGACACGTCACGCTCCTCAGATCTGGTTCCTAGACACTTCCTTTTTCTAATTCGATATACAACAAGGCCAATATTTCACGGCCCAAAAGATTGCAAGAGAAAGAAAGCAAACCGCGTTCTGACTCGAATTATGCGTTATGGTCGTTGTGCCGTATGTGCTTTGGCTGAAGAGTATACTCTACACGGAACAGCAAATGGATCCCCGCGGTAGCATTCCGCGATTCCCCGCGTAGTAACGTGACCAAAAGACGGGTTGATAGCTAGCTTGACCAGCGTACCGCCAGTATGGATCCTCGACGGAAATCCCGAGACATCTGCGCCATTGTGTCATTCGAGCTGTGTGCGACGTATTCGCCCAGGCACCCCCACGCAAGCTCCCGAACCAGAGTCGAGGTCTTGATTGAACCCTGATTTCGAGCGAGGAGACTTGGCCTGGCCTCTGTTCATGGGATTTCATCTTATTACTAAGCAGCTCGACTATGGAATACAACCTTGGCTGATATGACAGTTGGTGGCCGGGCCGTGTACGGAGCGGAACCCCCCTTGCACGGGTACCAAATCCCAACGCCGACGACATCTTCGGCAAGGGCGTCTCTCGGGGAATCTTGGGATGCCGAATCGCTCTGTTTGAAGTGGCAAGCTGCTCAGGCAGCAAAAACTGACCCCGCCAGCGACGATATCAACAGCACGTCGGACTCCTACCTCGATGGACTACATGCCCGAAAGGGCCGGCTGCATATGCGGGCATATGGGAATGCGTTAAGAGGTCCTATCAACGGATCAGACTTGAGGCCACTACTACTAGGCTCCCCGAATCGGCGTGGCCGCCGAAGACGAGTAAGCTCGCCGACCTGCCCTAATGCCATGAAACCCTTGGCCTTCCATCGCTTACGTGGAAATGGCTTTTTGTCTTTTATTTGTTCTACTCCCTCTGTCTCCCTCACACACCGCCGCGACCGTCTGGGACTAAAACCATATGGCCATGAGGGCAAGATGGGAATTGACAATGCGGAACTTGGCCGATACGGGCAGCTAAGATACGCCAGGTGGCGCATCAGTCCCACGCGAAAGGTACCAAGGGGCCCTTCACCGTCCTTCATAGGAAGCTGGACACGTTTCTTTTTCCGACTCACTTTCAGCTTGCATACCCGTACTTCGTACCTACTCCGTACCCATAACCAACGTCCAATATTGCTCGGGTCAGGGTCTCTGTTCGACAATGAATCGAGCCAGCCCACATGGTGGTTGGAATAGGGTTGCTGACACCACGCTGGCAACATTGCCGGGTCGTTTGGCTTGTGACTTGGCTGCTAAGCGCTTGAATAATTGGCCCGCAACAACATGTCTAGTTCCCGAACCCCCTCAGTCTCCTTGACGTATGGTACATGAGCCACTGCGTCGGACCCAGCATTTCGGCCTTCGAGGCCGATGATATGCATTCTCTCGGAGGTGATGTCATGGTCCTGGCTTCGTTCCTGAATACCCTGGCGGGCCCCTCTCCGTTGAGGAACCTAGCAAGGCTGAAATGGAAAAGAAGGAGGGGGAGGGGTCTTTGTTGGATGGCAAAACGACCAAAAGACGAGTCGTTGGAAGCTGAGTGTCTGCCACAATGGCATGATACACGACTCGGTGTCCCGCAGAGATCTACGTGTGCCGCCAGTCGGGCAGGATCTGATTCTTGAAACCCGATTCAGTTACTGTACCGCAATTTTGCCGGTGTGCTGCGTATGTTTTCCGAGGTAACGTTCGTGCTGCCGGGTTCGACAACTGTGGGAACACCCCCCGGAACCGGGAGAGTGAACCGTTGTGTCGGGATACCCTCCAACATGGTTCCAGGTTGTGTATAACAACCCACTGCTGCGTCGTTGATGTGCTCGTCCACGAGTTGAGTAAGACTCGATATATCGACGCAGACATGACGAATAGCAATAGCAACGACAGCACCAATGGCCTGGGGGAAGTGGTCTTCAGAGCCGAGGAGACTGCCCGTCAACTAGTCGACTTGGCTAACGCTACCAAGACGATCCACTTACAGACGCGAAGACAGATGAACCAGCTCCAGTCCGAACTATACCGCACAACCACCCTATAT